CTTGTCGCCGTGTGCGCTTACGTTTTGGTGCCCTCGGCAACTGGGACGGGCCCTGAACGCATCTGAGTGCTGCTAGGACCGGCATCAGGCTTGTTATGTTTTTTTCTTCTTCAGAACTGGGCGTTGCTTCTGCCCCCCCCCCCCCAAACCCCCAGTCTGTGCGGGTGGAGTCGGTCCCGATTCTACCGTGCCGTCTGTAGTGCTCTGTAGCACGCTGTCGTCGCCCGTGCCCGACTCTGGATCCGGGTTCGAACTCCTGCGTCCTCGCCGACTCCATGAAGTCTCGTGCGGTCGAAAACACTTCGGAATTCAGCGGCCACAGTCCGCTGGCCGCTGAAGCCTTTGAGAGACTTCTCTAGGGCAGCCACACGTTGAAGGTGGTGCCAAAAATGGCACCCATCCGGTACAGCCCGCTCGCTTGCCGGGGTTTGAAGATGAATCGGCATTTGATCCCAAACGTGTGAGTGGTTCGATTTAAAAGCGCCGTCGACAAATTGCCTGTTACTGGCAGTGACGCTCATAAGTGAAGGTTGGCAGGTTTCCCAGGAGCCAGCGCATTCTGTAGCGTCGCAGCAGCGGGGGGGGGGGGGGGGCACCTTGTGCTTGGAATGCGTGAAATGCGGATTAAATTTTTAGAACATTAGGGTTATCGGCAAGTCGTGATTTTGAGTAAGGAAGCGAAGAAATCACACGAGGAACGGACGTGGAGTAAATGAACCGTTTCAAGTCATGTACACAGATCTAGATAAAATGTATCAGTTAGATTCGCAGCCTGCGCGAGTCTTCACGCAATATTAGGTATGAAGATAAACTTTTCTAAATGGAGCGCAGCACCTCATTTGCAGTGCGAGCAGATATTGATGCAAACCTGCCCTAAAACCTACACTTCTATCCATCAACAATTGTTGATTGTCCAAAGGCTAACGGAAAAGAATGGGCGGGAAAGACGGCTTTATTTTATGTGGCGCGTTGCTGGTTGATTGTGGTAGGCATAGGTGCTGATGCAGATTAGTGAGAGCGATTCCGTGCATTCCAAAATGTTCTTACAACATCGGTCGGTAATTATGGCAATAGCACGCATCTTTATGACTAATTAAAGCGGTGAGTTTTCATAAAACATGCGGTTTCTTGCTTGAACGTGTTTTATGGCACCAGTCAGTTCATTTAGGAATTCGCATGAGCCTTCACGAAAAAAGGTTATCATGAGAGACTGACGGTGATTTAGTCGGCAGGGTTTGTTAGCAAGTAAAGGAATTTTCTGATTATTGGTCTCTAACCTAACTGATCCAGCGCGCATTTCAAGCCGACGGGTTTGGTGGTTCGGGCTGCAATTCACGGAGAAAGAATTAACTTCCATGTTTACGCCGCGGACAAATGGATTATTTGTCTGCGGAATTTCGTTCCAATATTTTAGAAATTTAACGAGTACATGCTCTTTAAACTATGCTAGGATGTCAAACGCTTAATGAGTGACGCTTAAACGCTTCATAAATTTTTCGGATCCACGCCGTGTGTCTCATTCAGTAAGGCCTCTCGAGTCATTGGCTCGGTTTCTGCTTAACTTTTGGAGATGTTTCAACGCATCAGCTAATCGGGGCCCAGCAACGGCCCCCCGCAAGTTGTTCATGAACTATACGGTTACCTAAGCTCCTTTGTTAATTACCACAGGGCAAACTAAGCAATGGGAATTTTTTTCAAAGATGTCTCATCTTAGATGATGAATGACGGTCAAATTACGCGTAACACTCAGTGACCGTTAAAGATTCAGCGCCCAAAACCGCCGGGGCGGCGTGTTGGAATCGGAAGATATCGGTTAACTTTCACTTGAATGGGATTTTCTACATGACAATAGAGGCCGGACGAAGTCAGCAAAGTTTTCCGGACCGTCCTGCTTTTGAAAGCGATGGCAGACCAGACGTTTTCTGCATCATATCATGCCATACATGAAACCGTTGGCTTCGTGCACCCGGAATGATTAAACAATGGAGGTGATTGCTGCTTGACAATGAGTACGTGAGAACTGTGGAAAGAAATGACGACTACGAAAAAATCAGTTAGGTTTTCCTCTTTCTAAAGCGAATAATGACGCCGTGGTTAAAACGTATTGGGAATAATGTCAAGTGGTTAAAATGCGTTTGGAAAAATGCCAGATAGAGCGCAGCTATCAGCTAGGAATTACACATCGCTGGCTTAAAGCAAACAATCCAAATGTTATAAAGCCTTCAACTGCAATCTCACTTCCGTTAAAAGCTAATCGGACTCATCGAAGCGTCAAGCGCATTATACCGATGAGTGAAAACTATAACCAGACTCCTGACCACTGATGGAGCAAGCACCTAACACTGCCTGAAAACCTGAGCTTTGCTTGTTCAGAAGCAGGTCATCATGTGAGAGATAGATTCTGAGGAATTTATAAGTCACGTGCCGTGTTGGATCCAATGTAGCCGACATGATGCCCTTACATGACGATGATGTCTATAGTCGACATATGTTTATACAAACCAGAGCAATAAGAGGGAATGGCTGATTCATGCGACTAGTTTTACGACTGAATTTTGCTTTGTTTAACGCAGCAATCTGATCAGATATCACATGTTTGTCTGTTGATGCCTCGAGTTTTTCTGTTACAAAAGTTGCAAAAAATACTCGGGTCAGGTGGACTTGGACCGAGCATGTAATGCTTCCCAAAAGTTGGTTCAATGCTAGTGGCATCCGTCTGCTGCTACTACGATTACGGAATAAGCCAACATTCAAGGACAACTAGCCGGTTATTTTACATGCAGGATTGACTGGGGATAGACTTCAACGCAAACAAAACACTGCCTCTTACCGAAAGATATGGCATGAGTGACATTTGGAGCACACTGGCTCCTTGAGGGGCTTCACATATGGAGAACGGTCGCTATTATGTTTTTCCGCATTCATTTATTGACATGCCCCCCGCCCCTATTTCCACTTTTAGAGAAGGGCAACTTCTACATTAAAATGAAGCCAATTAACTTAAAAGTATTGGGAATTAAGAATAGGAGCATTTGCACGCTATTGTCAATTTTGAGGCTGGGTATTTTCACCATGGGAGGTTAGCTCAACACAGATGCCAGCAGCTTTTAAGTGCGTTATCTTGTCGAAGAACACTATACGATAAGAATGAATCAAGATGAACGTTCCTGCAATCACAGAATCAACACCCGTGCGGTTTTTGTGGCGGGAGCGGTAATGCGCCGGGTCCCAAATTTAAGGGCCGTGCGTCCAAAACCAGGGCCGACCAGAAATTGTTTTGTCTGGTGTCCTTAGGTTATTTTGCACTGGCTTCTAACGGCCTGTTCACGTATCAGCGAGATGCAACATTAGATTCCTCGGGAGTTTTTGCGTAGAAATTGCGGACATGACACTCTTTCAAGATGACATGACGTGACATGATATGTCCCGACACGCACATCAGTGGGCGTATGAGTCATGTCATTGACACTGGATATTCTGAATCGAGCTTTATGGAACCGGGCATAATTATCATGCTGCTAACCTTCGTTATAACCTGGATTCAAATGCAAGGTAATGATCACCATTCGCAAGTGATGGTAAAATGTGGAGCATGTTGATCAAACAAGACCACAAATTATTGAACTGTAATGTCAAGCTGTGGTGGCCAGTCTGGTTTTTGAAGGGGTTTATTTTTTATTCTTCTAACGTTCTCTCGATGTTGTCAGGCTA